CTGTTAGAGAAACCACTCAGGAATCCCTTGGATTTAGTCCGGCTGACTTAGTTTTTGGACACACTGTGCGCGGTCCCTTGCGACTGCTTAAAGAAAAATGGTTATCAGAGTCGCATCAAGCCGAACATAATGTGTTCGATTATGTTTGCAGTTTTAGAGAGTGTCTTTTCCGTGCATGTCAGCTGGCCCGTGAAAATTTGGAACAAACTCAAGGCAACATGAAAGCCCAGTATGACAAAAAGATGGTGGTCCGACATTTTGCTCCTGGTGAAAAGTTCTGGTGTTGCTTCCTTTAGTTGAGTCTAGCCTCCATGCTCAGTTTTCCGGTCCCTACGAGGTGGACAAAAAGATAAGTGACACTAGCTATGCAATAAAAACTCCTGATCAAAAGAGAAAACTGAGGGTTTGCCACGTTAACATGCTTAAACGCTATGTTTCCAGAGAGGACGCAGTAGCTGAAAAAACCTCTCCCATTGCGCCTGTCTCTGTGTTCGGCACCACCACTGTATGATCTGCAAGATGATGACTTGATTGAGAAGAGCGGTTGTATGCCTGTGGCCCGTTTGCGAAACTCAGAAGTGTTAGAAAATCTTTTCTGTCACATCTGTCAGATTCCGCCCGCAAAGATATCCTTGATCTGATTGAAGCTAATTTGCTGCTTTTCTCTGACCATCCTCGGCAGACGTCTGTGCTGTTTCATGATATCGTTGTGGAAGTTGATAAGCCAATAAAACAACATGCTTATAGAGTAAATCTAACCAAGCGGATTTTAATGCAACAGGAAGTTGAATACCTGGTTAAACATGGGTTAGCTGAGCCCAGTAACAGTGCGTGGAGTTCGCCCTGTATTTTGGTGCCTAAACCAGATAACACCCCACGTTTCTGTACCGATTTCAGAAAGGTTAATGCAGTCACAAAACCTGATTCTTTTCCTCTCCCCAGAATGGAGGACTGCATTGATCGTGTCGGCTCAGCTACATTCGTCACTACCTGTTAAAAGGGTATTGGGCAAGTCCCGTTAACCCCCAGAGCTTCTGAAGTCTCTGCTTTTGTGACACCAGATCATTTCCTCCAATACACTGTAATGCCCTTCGGGTTGCGAAAAGTACCTGCAACGTTTCAACGTCTGATGCAGAAGATATTGTTTGGAGTGAAAAACTGTGAGGCATACTTGGATGACATTGTCATTTATTCTCCGACATGGTCAGAACATCTGGAAACGCTCTCTGAGGTGTTCAGACGTTTTCGTGAATCTTCTCTCACATTAAACCTCTCTAAGTGTGAGTTTGGTAAAGCCACCATTACTTATTTAGGGAAACAGGTCGGACAAGGGCAAGTGTGCCCTGTTGCTGCGAAAGTACAGGCCATTGTTGATTGTTCCTGTCCCGCAGACAAAAAGAGCTCTGCATCGTTTCTTAGGAATCGCCGGTTTTTATCGAGGGTTTTGCAAAAATCTTTCTGATGTGGTTAGTCCCCTAACTGATCTTTTATTTGGTCTCCAGTGTGTCAGGTGGCATTCGAGTCTGCCAAAGCATTGTTGTGCAGTGCACCAGTGCTAGCTGCGCCGAATTTTGAGCGTTTGAGTTTGATGCCAGCTCGTGTGGCGCAGGCGCTGTTCTTTTACAGGAAGATGGTCACGACGTAGATCATCCCATCTGTTACTTTTCAAAGAAGTTTAACAGACACCAGACCCATTATAGCACCATTGAAAAAGAGGCTCTTGCCTTACTCCTTGCTTTACAGCACTTTGAGGTCTATGTTGGGTTAAGTGTGCTGCCTGTGCAGGTGTTTACCGATCACAACCCACTAGTGTTTCTTTCCCAAATGC